AAGACGTAGAGGGAACAGAAAGGACAGGAACTTTAACCTTTCAGGTCAGCTGATCTCAGCTTTTACAGCCTCTGTCATCCAGGAAGAACAGCTCCTTTCTTTCTTTGAGTCTACAGCAGCAGAAACAAAGACGCTCTGTGATCAGCTGACCCACCGATAAGTCTCCTCCTGTCCAAACTTCAGCCCGCGAGCCTCGACTTTCAGATGACTTCTAACAGACAGCGTGAGATCTCTGAGGACGGGAAAAATGTCCCTGCAGAGCAGACGAGGGACGATAATGAGCACGCATGAAGCTGCGAAGCATTAATTCCACGCAGAGCGATCCGAGCACGACTGTAATTACAGCGAGACTAAAAACACTGATTGTGTTTCATTATTAAGCCGCTGTACGCTCGCACTGATCCGCTCATTCGTATCGTCCTGCACTTAGAGGAGGCTAACCTTCATTCATGCGCTCCATCATCGCTGCTGTCATTTCAGACCACGTGTGCTGAAAACTCTGCACACGTGTTTTAGGGGCACCTTCATGTCAGCTATATATATTTATATCTGTATTATACTGGAGTCTCTACAATTAGATCTACATCTACAAATATGATCTAAATATGACTTATATTTGATAATATTTTGTTTCCTAATGTAGTGATTATCGTATCATTTATTTGACTTTAGTGTTTCCTGTGGGAATAATAACAAAAGTTATTATTACAAATGCTTATTACTGAAATACTGCTTCATGTGTCATGATAGTTTTTTATATTCAGGAGTTTATTCCAGCACAGCATGTGATTCATTATTACTGAAACAATCAGACTGAATATTTTGGTGATATTTATGATTTCTCTGTAATTCAAATTCAAGTGTATTTTACTTAAATAATTGACTTTAGCTGCAAATACAGTGGAATGAGGAGGTAACAGGAAATAAGCTTTTGTAAATATAAGTGTTATTGAAAAATGACCCAAACATGAAGATGCTAGCATGTTTGCTCTCAGCAGTGATCAGTAGTACTAATGAAAACCACGCTGAGCTGCTGAATTTAGACGTGATTACAGGTGAAGCAGCATCTTCAATGATGATCACTGATAACAGACTTCTGTGACTGCACATGTGGGCAGATGAGCAGTAGATGCACGCATCAGCGTCTCAGTGAGTGCAGGGGAGGATTTCTGCTGTTGCAGCGATCCTCGCTCGGGTGTCGTGGTGAAACTCTGAATCCTCTGTGACGGGCGCGCTCCGCTCCACGGAGTTCATCAGCAGGGAGGATCTGTGGCCTCGCGGCGAAACGGAAACGGCCGACGAGACGGAAAACATTTTCATAATAACGACTCTGAGACTGCAGCAGCATGTAGATTCAAACGTCCCCGTGTGACTTTGCATTTTAACCTTATCTCTCATTTCAGTAATCCTCCACAGTTTACTGCACTACTTTTGTCTCTGCGGGAACGGATTCAGCTTCGGATTTTTTGATCGGTAAAGACGACGATGTCACGTCCCAGTGGAAGTCGCCGGAGGAGGAGCTTCCACACGAGCGCCGAAGGAATCGCAGCGCTCCGGGTGTTCAGACCTCCCAGAAGGAGACTCAAAGCACCGAAACAACAGAGTCTCTAGAGAGTACCAACATACAACGGCTGATTTTACACCATGTCCCAGCACTAGTTTAACTAACTAGTACTGATGGTGAAAACCAGCCGGGACACAAACTTTAATGTTAGTCCCTCACGTCCATGTGCTCGGAACTGTCCAGATCATCAGTATGTACAATGACAATAAAGGGTCATTCTATTCTATTCAATCTCTGAAGACGTAAAAATAAATAACAGTCAGGCTGTGACGGTTTCCACGCCTGACCTCGTCAGTCTTCTTCGTTGACCTTTATTCTCCTCGTTGTCGAGGTTTCCTGCTTTTCCCGGCTCGTTTGCTCTTGCGTTCCACCTCACCGGTTGATCCTTGCTGCTACACGGTGTGCTTCAGAGCTGCTTTAGCTCCTCATGGATCAGGTTTAGCAAGCTGCAGGAAACACCCCTCAGAGGTTTTGAATGATGTTGACATGACATCATCATGACATCATTGGTCAGACCCTCCTGTTCCTCCACATCTCAAAGCTGCTCTGTTAAACTGAGATCTGTGACGGTGGAGCCGTCTGAGTGAACTATGACATCAGAGGATGGTTGAGTGAGGTCAGAAAGGGATGGGCGTGGTCAGCAGCAACACTCAGACAGGCCGTGGCCCTCACCACAGCAGCAGGCTGAGCACTGATACAGGCAGGATGGAGCCACGCTTTAAACTGACTCACAGACCAGGAAACGTTTCTCCATCTTCTGCTGTCCAGGTTGCTGTTCCTGCTACAGGACTGTGCTCTTCTGTCCATCTGCGTCAAGGTTCACAGACGCTTTTCTGCAGATGCTGGTTTTAATGAGTGCTTATTTGAGTTCCCGTTGCCTCACCATCAGCTCGAAGCAGCCTGGCCTTTCTGCTCTGACCAACCGCGGCTCATTTCTCCCTTTATTCACTTTTCTTCATCATCCTGAGGCTCCGTTTGAACTTCAGCAGCTCTTCTTCAATTATGTCCAACGAGCTGCTGGCGTGCTAAGGAGCACCAGAACAGGTGTACCTAATGAAGTGGCTGGTGAGTGATGGAGGCGTTGCTTTGTGTCATGTTTTGTCATTTTTCCGAGTCTCTGTGTGAGGCAGGCCGTCCGTCCTGAGCTGAACGTTTCCCTTCCTGTCCCAACCTGTCAGACGCCATCATCATCGAAGGCGGGGCTCTGAGAACAGCTGATGGTGGATGCGACTGCATTCATGGGTCACGGCAGGAGACAGGAACCATCGGCGTCACACACGCCAACGCTGACCTGTGTGTGTCCGTGTCCAAACTGCTTCACGGCTGAAAACAAGCCAAGAATCATTTATACGTTGTTCTGTTCTGCACAATCCATAATCCAAGTTATTCCACTGGATACTCGGGGCCAGAAGTTTGTGGACAGCTCACACCACTGCTGTGTGTGTCCCCCATCCAAGCCTGTGATTCTGCTAAACACAGGACCTGAATGCATCATGCTGAGTTTACTCTGCAGTGTTTTGTGTGCAGCACACTCAGCATTTATCCCCACAGTGGATGTTTCATCACTGCAGCACAGACTTGTGTCGCGTTTCATCCCATTTCTGTGGAGAACGCAGCGATGCCGGCTGTGACGCATCAGCTGCAGTTTACCATGTTGCCGGTTTTTGCCACGTCAGCACGGATCCACCCGTCCTCCAGAATCAGACGCGTGTGGACGCGACCGCTAAACGACTCTTCTTCCACGTTTCTGACAGACGTGTGGCTCGTTTCAGTCGGAGACAGAATCTGTTTGCTGCATCTGTCAATCACGGATGACGGTCTTGTGGTAGCCCCACCCACAGATGCTGATGTCACAGGTTCCACCTTTGTACTCATCGGCATGTTAAATGGCAGTCTGGCGGCAGGAAGTGGTCTCAAACACAGCTTTAATGCTGAACTTTTATTTTGGAAACAAACTGTTCTGATAAAGAAACAAACATCCAAAAAACCCGACCTCTCAGGAAACACGATAACAGAGACACGGAGCCTCACACAGCTCATCTGCACGTGCACGCATATTACATCACGACATCTTCAGTGTTTCTATTCGTTACAGGACACGCTCACATCTGACGTTTGGGTTGTTCTTCACCACGTGCTCGTACAGGTCCTGAAACAACCTGAAGATAACTCAACAGAGTCCAAACACAAAACTCAACATCTGCAGCCCTCCCCACACTGTCCTCATAACGCCTCTGTGTGGGTTTCTGATTCGCTGCCATCCACAAACACAAACTGAGGCTGTGACACACAAAGATCATCGATTCAGGATCTCTGGTGTTTCATTCGATTGATTAGGTTTGATTCGTTTCATTAGACTGTCCCTCCGCGGAAAAGGCTCAGTTTGTACACCGAGATGATTTCAGTTCATTCTCGGCTCTGCTTTAAGTTTTCTCCTGCAGAAATGATCGAGGAGCGTCCGTCTCCCTGCCAGAGTCCATCAGGGTTTTAAACCGCTTTATTAAAAGTCCAATAATTCGAGTCGCTCCTCGGGCCAACCTCCAACTCTGATTAGCTGTTCCTGATGTTTCTGCTGGCACTGATCTGAGGCCTGACAGGGAGGAGGCTCGGAGGAGGTTCATTAGAAACAGCGATGGACAGACCTGTGAAGACGCCGCCTGTCAGGAAGGATTTAGGTCGCCGGTTAGTGATTAGTGAAGTCTGTGAGCGTGAAGGCTTTCCTCCGAGTGGAATAACAACATCATCGACAGGAAGGAGTTTCTGGCCTCGCGTTCTCTTCTAGTCTTTAGAAATGATCAGTCCTCCAGCTGCAGGTTTAAATCTGTATTTGTGTTTTAAGATCAATCTGAAGAGGACTTTTAGTTGAACAGGAAACAGGAAATGCTTCGTCGTTTTTGGGGTGTGTTTGTGAGGCTCTTTTGTTTCACACAGGTGCTTTAGACCTCCCAACAAGAAAAACTGGGACATTAAACAACGACGGCCTGTCTCTAAATACGACCATCATATCTCAGCCCTGCATCTCTGTGTCATGGTTCTGTCGTATGTACTTTTTACTGCATTTTCATTTCATTAAACAAAGCTCTTACACTAACTGACATGCAGGGAAGCATTCCACCTTAAAAGCTTCCAGAAGCTGCTGTTCACACGTTAACAACGCGTCACAGTCTTCCTCCCCTCAATCCCAGCTGCTCCAGCAGACCCCGAGCCTGGTTCTGCCGGAGGTTTCTTCCTGTTAAAATGGAGTTTTTCCTTCCTACTGTCGCCAAAGTGCTTGCTCATAGGGGGGTGGTCTAGTTGTTGAGGTTTTCTCTGTATTATTGTAGGGTCTTTTTCTTTCTTTTCAGATAGTGACCCCCTGAAGGAAGCAGCTGAAAGTTTCGCAATTGCTTTTGCAGAGGTGTCACGTTCTCTTGTCATTCTGCGTTCGGTCCTGCAGGTGGCGATGGTGCCCGAGGCGCCACGCCCATTCCCCACCGTGGATGTGCCCGACCACGCCCACTACACCATTGGCTCCGTGATTCTCACCATCGGCATCACGGGCATGATTGGGAACTTCCTGGTCATCTACGCCTTCAGCAGGTACGCTCATCACCGTGCTGCTTTCAGGTGAAAATGCAGCCTTAGGCCCCAAAAACAGTTACTGTTCATTTTATTTTAATCTAAACTTGACTAAAACTCTCACTCACGTATTTATTTGTAACCGCGGTGCTGCACAGTGTGAAGTCTTATTGCTTTGTGATAACTGTAGTAACTTCATGTGTGCATTGTAATATATATATAAGAAGCTTCTACACTGATCAAATGATAACACAGGGTGTCACATGTTAAATCTCAGGTAATCTTCAGATTTGGGTTAATTAGCCGTAGAATAATAGTTGCACAACACAGCATGAAAGCTGAAACAGTTTTTATATGTTTCACAGTCTGAAATTTCTCATCTCTGCCCTCAAACGTCTCCTGTTCAAATGAAATCATATTAGACACGACCGACACTTCTAAAAACTCTCACTTCTACTCTTGGACCTGCCGTCCAGGATCAGATAAAGAAGGATTATTCTGAACTCTGAGTAATGGAAAGCTGCCTCAGGAGAGTCCAGAATAAATATTTGGAACCTGAAACGACTAAACAGATTTAGCTTTACTTGTTAACAGAGGGTCAACTCAAACTCATCTCATCCAGGATTTCTTTATCTGCTCATTGGCTACAGACAGGCTCACAGGCTTACAGAAGTCGCCCAGTAAGAAGAAAGTAGGCTTAATGGATGGTCTGAGGGAAAGTATAAGATGGATAAGGAGCAGAGAGTCCAAGAGGAAAAGGATGGAGCTGGAAATGAACGGTCTTTAAAAAGAACGCTGGTATAGTGTTTGAGGATGAAGCACATGAGCAGCTGCAGAAGCACCGGAGAGAAAGGACGGCCCGTAAGGCTTTAATCAGAGGTTCCTCATGCTGGGATAAGTAGGAAATCAGGACCTCTGATCTTATCGAGCAGCTCTTTTCTTCTTCCATGTCTGCAGAGAAACAATGAGCACAATGATTTCAGGAGTTCCTTTAAGAAGCTTTTCCACCTAAGAAAAATTCGATGTGCGCATCGATCTGCCTGTTCCTTGGATGGGCATCGATCCTTCTTCTGCTACAATCAGCTGTGGTTTAAGGCGAATGCGTCATTGATTAAACGTTCATGTTCAAGCTGAAGGAGCCCTGAGTGCTCTCCTTCAGACAGACTCAGTCATTACTGAAAAACATCAAACTGTTCAGATTTGGATCATCTGCTCAAAATTCAGTTTTATTTTCTGTAAAAGACAGAATTTCACTAATGTAACAATATCACTTAGTTAAAGTTAGCAGTTTGTGGGAGGTTCGAGTATTTTTCAGCAGTTTTTCTGTAATTAACAAATTAATTCTGTTTAAAATGTCTTTGCAGGAGTCGCAGCCTGCGCACGCCGCCCAACATGTTCATCATTAATTTGGCCATCACTGACCTCCTGATGTGCATCACCCAGTCACCCATCTTCTTCACCACCAGCATGCACAAGAGGTGGATCTTTGGAGAGAAAGGTACCAACTGCATGGCTGATATTACAGATGATCTCATTACAAATGCTCCAACAGCACAAACACGGACCAGTTCAGGTGAAGCTAACAGACAGCTAGCAGCTACAGCCACCTGTCAGTCAGGCCACGCCCCCTTTTTTCTTTTTTTGTATTTCTTTCTCGGACAGAATACAAAGTTGATTGTAACTGTTACATTTTTTTTGCTTTTAAGAGTGTGATCATGATAAAAGTGTTTGTAATGTTGTGATGTTTTCACTGTAAGGAAAGGGGCTGGTTGACCTTGGATGACCCCTAAAAACCTTTAGCGGCACCAGTGAAAATGTTAGCATCACAAACGTAGCGAAGGTGGGGGGGCCCACTTCACTCAGGGTCTGTCTATAAACGCGTACACTGCCTTCTGCTGGATGTAAGTGAAACGACGGAGGCTGGTAACACACATGTTTGTCTTATGGCCTTATTGTTGCGTAGAAACCTCTTGACCAATCTCTGCCTTCCTAAAGATGTTCTTGCCTCTTCACAGGTGTTTTCCTTCACCGTGTCCGACGTGTGACTGAATTTGAGCTTCAGGGCTTAAAATGACTGATTGTTTTATTTTCTATCTGCAGCTTCTTTTCCATTCTTCTCCACCACGATGTGAACCAGTAACTTTCAGCTCAGAGAGAAGAGCGCTGTGTTTGAGTCGCTCAGAGAGACGCTGAGCGAAGGAGGTTTATTTGTCACAGGAAAGAAGAGAAGTTTAAAGCGACTCTAATCCCTCTCTGTTGCCTGCAGGCTGCGAGCTGTATGCTTTCTGTGGCGCTCTGTTTGGGATCTGCTCCATGATCACGATGACGGTGATCGCTATCGACCGTTACTTCGTCATCACGAGGCCTCTCACATCCATTGGAGTGCTGTCTCGGAAGCGGGCCCTCCTCATCCTCGTGGCGGCCTGGGCCTACTCGCTGGGCTGGAGCCTGCCGCCGTTCTTCGGCTGGAGTGAGGACACGCGACACAGCACATTTAGAATACTGTATACGACAGCACGTGACAGTAACAGCGTTTATCAGACTGAATAACACTTTAATGTCAGGTAGACTTCCGACAAAGATCCAGATAAAAACGGCGGTCCAAAGAACCACCTCTCTCTGTGTTAACGTTTCAGGCGCCTACGTCCCTGAGGGCCTGATGACCTCCTGTACATGGGACTACATGACCTTCACGCCGTCTGTGAGAGCCTACACCATGCTGCTCTTCATCTTCGTTTTCTTCCTGCCTCTCTTCATCATCATCTACTGCTACATCTTCATCTTCCGCGCCATCCGCACCACCAACCAGTCAGTTTGAATCTCAGATGTCTTTCGTTCAGCTGTGCCTGACTTCAGTGACTGACTGAAGCTCGTGTGCGTTTCAGGGCAGTGGGGAAGATTAACGGCAGTGTTCACAGTCACGGCAGCACTCGTGATTCCATGAAGAGTTTCCATCGGCTGCAGAACGAGTGGAAGATGGCGAAGATCGCGCTCATCGTCATCCTGCTCTACGTCATCTCCTGGTCGCCGTACTCCACCGTGGCCCTCACCGCCTTCGCCGGGTAAAACACTCGAACCTCCACACCTATGAAAACGTGTGTGTCATCTGAGTCGAACTACAACAAAACTCTGAGCTTTGTGTCGCTGGACTTCCTCTGATGGCCACTAGGTGCCGCTCTCCGTCTCTTAGAGAAATGTGGCTCGTTTATTTCAGCTCATTTACATTTTTGTCCACTGCGGCTTTAAAGTTTGAAAGATCTTTGTTAAAAAGTGTTTTCTCATCCAAGCTCATCGCCGAGGCTGGTGAGAAAGAAAGAGTGGCTGACGCTGTAAACGAATTCAGAAAACAAAAAGCTGAAGTCCTAAATGACAAAACATTTTTAAAAAGTAATAATAATATTTAAAAAGCTCCTATTTTGTCAGGTCCTCTTGTTTTGCTTCATATTTTTAAAAATTAGGATACAAAAAGTGACTTTACTGTAACTGAAATGGTAAAAACAATTTGGAGAATGATCTTAAATACCAGGAGCTGGACAATCAAAGTTTAAGAGGTCTCAAAGAGAAAAGGAGCTGAAGCGAGTTGTTTCAGACTGGGGGGTAGGGGGTGGGGGGGTGGAGCCATTAAGAGATGGCTGAGGTTCAAATTCGACCCGTGAGTCACGCAGAGCTGCTTAGTCCCAGGATACAAACTGAGTGTGAAAGGAGCAGCAGGGCTCGACTGTCTGAACCGATGCTCGTTTAACCCGGCGAGCCCCACATTAACCGGTGTGTTCTGGTTCACAGGTACGCAGACATGTTGACACCCTACATGAACTCTGTCCCCGCCATCATCGCCAAGGCCTCGGCCATCCACAACCCCATCATCTACGCCATCACACACCCAAAATACAGGTAAACCCCATTTCACAGGTAAAAGACTGACTGCAGCCCCAGTTCTAAATAAATGTACAGAGTGTAATCTACATTTATTCATAATAAAACATAGAAAACATATCAGATGTTTAAACTAAGAAAATGTTCAATTTTCAGAAAAATGTGACCTTCGATTTAGTGACACCTGATAAAACATGTAGCAGCTGATCAGGTTATTTGGCAGCAGGTCCATCACATGATCAGTTTCTAAAACAGGAAGGAGAGAGTTTCTCAGAAGTAAACCTACAAGCTGTGACTCAGTTTCACTGTGAACATCTCATCATCAGCATACTCAGAGAATCAGACGAGGCTGATAACTGTGACCTTCGGGTGCTTTAAAAATCAGTGCACGGGCTGTGAGCAGTTCAAAATAAAACAGGAAGTGAGCTGAAAAGGAGACTAAATATCACAAATGACTGGACACTGCATTAGCTGCATGAGCCACTGAAGTACTGATCGGTATAGACTCCACACTGACCTTTGACCTCTCTTTGCAGGATAGCGTTGGCCAAGTACATCCCATGTCTTGGCGTGCTGCTCTGCGTCCGTCCTCGTGACATCCGCTCGACCAGCAGCAGCTTCGTGTCGACGCGCCGCTCTACTGTGACCAGCCAGACCTCTGGCATCAGCAGCCAGTTCAGGCGGCAGAGCACTTTCAAGTCCCGCCTCTCCTCTGCCTCTGACAGCGAATCGGTAAGCTTGAAACGGTTTAATCAGGAAGTTTAAAAAACGGTCAATGTTCAGGAGCGTCCGTTTAACCTCTGCAGGGTCTGACAGACACCGAGGCTGACCTGTCCAGTCTGGGATCCAGACCGGCCAGCCGTCAGGTCTCCTGTGACATCAGCAGAGACACCGCCGAGCTGCCCGACTTCAAACCCTCATCCAGCTTCAAGTCCAAGCTGAAGAGCCACGACTCGGGCATCTTTGAAAAGGTAAACTCAGAGAACGGAAGATGTAAAATAGTGGATAAACTGTGAAAGTGTCACAGAGAGGATCGAACCGCTGACGCCATCAGGACGAAACAAAAAGAAAATCCATTCGTTTATTCAAAACTGAGCGCTGTAAATGCTGCAAACACAAAGAGCCGCAGGCTCAAAACAACAAGTCTGAAATCCACAAATAAAACCAGGACAACTCAAGAGCGCCCCCTATGGAACAGGAAGTGAATTCACACAGACAGACAATACAATCCAACCCGGAGGCCTAATATAATGATGACGATGTGAGAACGTGTTTCACAATCACAGCTGCGATAACACGACAGAATAAATATCATTACTGAGGACATACCAGTGTTAGTATGATTCATCTGTAAAATATTAACCACATAATACTACACGTGTTTTACTATCTTTAGCAATCGATTTTTAGTCTTTATTTTAAACTTTATTTTATTTAATTGTTTATTATCTTGTGTTTATTATGTTTTAACTTTTTATTACCATTGTATTTTTTTATTTTTGCTTTTTAGAATAGAATAGAACAGAGCTGCTGATACTGGCTGCCAGCTCAGAGCGGCACCGGAAGTTAAATACTTTTTTAAATGTATTGAGCTTTTTTAATCTACAGAGACTACAGACTTTATTTAATTTATGTTTAATGTTTTGGCCTCTGTGTTAATTTGCCAAGACTCAGGATTAATAGATCTTCTCTCATAGTAACAGCCATAATTGTTAAGTGACGGCTGTGTGCAGACAGGAATAGGACCCAAGATGCAGACTCCAGAGACAAACGTAAACTGAAATAGCTTTAATGCTGAACTCAAACATAACATAACTGGAAAAAACCAAAATAAACTCAAACCAGAGGACTGACAGAACACACAGCTAAATAAACGGTAGATCGCAACACAGACACAGAGAAACACAGGGCTTAAATACACAGAGGGAGCAATCAGGGAATGGGTAACGGGAGGGAAACACAGCTGGGGCAAATCAGAACTGACGAGACAAAGGAAGCGTCACCTGAACACACTGAGATAAGACAGAGACCTTCAAAGTAAAACAGGAAACACAAAACACAGACTGAACAAAGACACAGACTCACATGCAGGCACTACAGAGGGAACAGAGACGTGGGACCAGGACAGACACAGACACTGACTGGACACGGGGATATAGGAACTAAGGATACACAGAGACGCGAACTAGACAAGGGGATACAGGTGAAAGGGGAGACAGAGCAACTAGAGAAGACAGAGACATAAACCAAAAGACAGAACTCTAACAAAGGAACCAAAGACTAGAAATTATAAATAATAATAATAATAAACTCAAAAACCCTGGGTCAACGACCCAGGCATCCTAACAATAATAACATATACGTAACAACGGCTGATCTACAATTTTTTAACTTTTCTCAGAGATAGAAAACTTTGCACATATATTTTAAGATTTTAGGATTAAATAGGTGATTTGTACCATTTTCCTTGTGTCTTCATTGTCGTTCATGGTTCATGATGTTGAACTGTTGGTGTTGAGCAGCATGAGTCACAGTATGAGTCCATGTGTTTCTCTTCTAGACGTCCTGTGACACTAAGCTTCCCACGGCAGGAGCAGGTGAACGCAGCAGCAGTTCAAATGTGAGTTTCACAAACAGCTTTTACAGTCACATCTGTTGGTGGAGGTGCAGTAAATGATGTGAAGGTGAAAGCAGGACCCTTTCATTTAATTTATGCTTTTTTTATTTATGTTGTTTTGTAAGCGATTATCTGTATTTAGATGAAACGATTTTATTCTGATCCAAAGATTTATACAGATCTGAAAATGTGACACCAGTGTTGTAATACAAATATTTTATATGTTATTAAATGATCTGAATATTGATGAATTAACAAACCATCTGTGCAAATCTGTACGAGAGCACCACGCACGTCCTGCACAGGATTCATCGTTTGGTGGTTTCATTTTGTTTCTATGAAACAAAAAATCATCCACAGAGACAAACAGTTTGTGTATCAGGCTGGAAACATGTTTGTTTCTGTTGTAACATGGGAGTCTATGGGGACGGACTCATTGTTGCCTCCACTGGACACTAGAGGAACTGCAGGTTTTGTTTTTAGCACTCCCGCTTTGGCTTCAGTTGTTGGTTCGGAGGATTGACTCTCATGAATCAGGGATCCAGTGACCTCTGGATCCCTGTTAAACAGCTGTTAAATGATTACCTACAAATTTGCTTTGTGCCGACGATGGCGCTAAAAACCCAGCGGTGGTCATTTAGCGCTATCATTGATCCGTGATTGGTTTACGATGGCATGCCTGCCCTCTCAGAGTTAGGCATCAGTCACATTTGTTTTAAATAACCGTCTTTGTCTCTTTCACAGAACGGTGATTTTACAGATGGTGCAAGAGGCGCACTCTGTCGAATCCCGAGTATCGTCATCACCTCCGAGTCCAGCCCTTTCCTTTCCACGGGACGAAGTGGTTCCCGCACATCTCGATCGAAGGCGACCAACAGCAGCGGCGGTGGAGGTGCAGAGGCGGGTTCGGCGTAGAGCTCCACCCCCCTCTCCTGTTTAAACACCTGCAGCCATGTGACCACCTAAGGTCCAGGCAGATATTTGGGACTGTGCAGTTCAGAAAAAGCCATCAGAACTCATCAGATTGTAAATCTGCAGGTCGTTTATAGATTTTACCCGATTTGTACCGATATGGATGGAGACAAATTCCAAACCCAACCTGGAGCTGTTTTACCAACGAACAAAACAGTTTACTTAAAGAGCAGCTTACCTGAAACAAGGTGTATCCTCTCACTCTGTTTGGTTGTTTTGAGTGAAGGGAAAGCAGCTGCTGTGAGTTGAAATGTTACAGAATTCATATTTTGCATTGAGTTGCTCTTTAAAGAGCTCCTGAAAGCTGAGAGCAGGTCTGATCTTTGATTACACTGCAGCCACACGGACTCTGAGGGTGGAAATGTTCAGTCAGACTGATGAAAATGCCTCTTTAGCCAAGGTCTCCTGTGACAGGTGAGGGTCCCTTTAGAGGTTTTCTGGTGTCTGAGAGGACTTTGAGCTGAGGGAGGAGATTCTTCATTCTGTGATTCCTCAGTAAACCGTGTGCTTTCCTGCCCTTGGTCTTCTTATGTTTCTGCTTTGCATGTGGATTTCCATCTCAGACCTCAATGTGATGCCACCGGAGCAAATCATAAAGGTTAAATCATGAAGATGGTTATGTGCATCCCATCTAACCAAAACTAACTATAAATTCAAGAAATCACTGACTCAGTGCCAATAAGAACATCTCAGGACATCGATCTTATACCCACAGTGATTACCGATCGCTGTGGATGTGGCTCTGCACCAAGCAGTTTTTCTGCTCATTTCCAACTTTAAAGTATTTTTTAAATCTTTTTTGTCATTATGAACAGTTTAGAAAAACAAAACCTTTGTATCGGCCTTTAAAGCTGCCCCTCTGTTCATCTTCTATCTGAAATGAGCCATTTTAGCTCCTGTCTCTTTAAGAACACCCCCACCCCCATAAACCCACTGTTTCCTGATTGGTCAGCTTCCAGAAACCTAATAAGGGGCAGTAAAAAGAACAGCCATCCAAACCTTCTTTAAGAATAAAAAACATAAAGCTGCTTTTCTTGCCCACAACGTTTTTGGCCTGCATAGTTGTGACTTCTTGAACCACAGCAGTAGGAGAGCTGAAACGATGCTCATTTATTTGTTGTGTAACCAACACTGATATGTTCTAAACTGAGGGGTGTAACTACGAAGAAGATTATTGGGTTAGTGAACTGTGTAGAGCTTAAAGTCATAATTTTCCATGTCACCAATGTGGCCCTTATTTTACAAGCTAAATCACCATGGCAACTGATGCTGAACACATCACCTGGCCAGGAGCAGGTTATGTTTGAATTTTCAGTTTAAAATTGTCTGGAAGCGCCAAGTTGTCAACGATTCTTTTATTTCTGGCATGTTTTCAGTGTGATATAGATTCTATATCTACTTACAAAGAGCGCTGAATGAAGCAAAAAGTAATGTTGCTGTAATGTTGTGCTTAGAAGTAAACAGCAGCATTGAGCGCGCTCAGACACAAAATCTTTCACTGCAATTCAAATCTCTGTGACACAAATCACCAGATTAATCAGTTTCTCCAATAATCTTCAGATTATTTAGCTGTTATATTTTATGTTCTTTGTAAACATTTAATTTCTTTTTAATAATATTTTACTTACTATTTTATCATCCTCACTTTATAACATCTCTAAATGGAGCGGGTGGCGCTCACGGGGATCATTTTGTGAAGAAAAAAAAGAGTCACATGATGCACGAATCGTCTTTCTTCAGTTGATAACCTGTCATCTCTGTTATCTCTGGGGCTTTGCTGATCCAGCTAAGACAAAGAAAGCCTGGATATGTAGCTTTCCTTCGTAGTACACCCTTCAGGGTTAGTTCACGTTCAACAACCATATCTAAACCAGGAATAACAAACCAAAAAGTCAACTGCTGTGTTTTAGCTGTAAATTCTAGTTTAGTATTTAGTATTTATTATTTATTTATTTATTGTCATTGTCAAGAACAATGAAATTGCGTTTGGGGCTTCCATACAACCCCAAAAAAAGAAGAAAATAATAAATACCCCTTAAAACCCAAGTGTACATATTTAACCCAGTGTGACTCCAATGCAATAAGACAATCCTTAGCAATAATGTTCGTAGAAATTCAGACAAAGACCTGAGAAACATGACAAAATACAACAATGCAACCCATTCAATATTATTGTACTGTGAGATATGATATCAGATATGATAGTTATCTATTTAAGAAAGAGGGGGGGGGCAGGAGGGGGAAGAGAATAAAGATATGATGCACCAATGCAGACCAGTTCATTGCTATTAAGAAGTTGGATATGGTTATTGTCCGTGAGAGGGGGGCAGAGAGTTCAGGAGCCTCACAGCCTGTGGATACAGGCTGTTGGCCAGTCTGGATGTTCTGGCCTGTATAGACCTGTACCTTCTCCCTGAGGGCAGCAGATGGAAAAGGTGGCGCGCAGGGTGATGTTGGTCCCGCAGGATACTGTGCACCCTCCTCAGACAGCGAGTGGGGAAGATATTACTGATCTCTAGCAGACTTGTTCCAATAATTCTGCCAGCTTCTTTCACTAGTTTTAGTTAAACTCTTCCTTTAAAAAGCTGAAAATCAGATTTTCCGGGAAGCCCGATGCCCGACTTGGGGAAAACATGCTGGGACGTCCTTTGCAGTCTCTGTGTTGAGCTCATTGTGGCCTGTACATAGAGTTTATTTCCAGTCAGATTCTTTCGGTGTAATCTCCGCGAGTCCTGAGAGGCCTGCAAAAACGCTTTTGTTCTGAAGATATTTTCAGTGTTTTGTGTTTTAAAGTGTTGTTCAGATCATTTCGTACTGTTTCTGCGGCTTCCTTTCCTTTATTTAACTAAAGGCGTACTTTGCTGAAGCGCAGTGTCGTGGAATGTGACTGTGATATTTTTATAGTGTTTAAAAGAGAAAATCATGTCGATAATAGCGCAGCTCTTGGTCATCTGACATGTCTGTTTGAGCTCCTCAGCTGTTCCCTAAACTTTACCTGAATGTTTCTTTAAAAAGATAAAGCTCATGGTGCTTTTCCTGTTGGGACGGAAGCTTGAAGCAAACCATCAAACTCACTGGTTAAAACGGGTTTAACAAAACAAGATCGGACTGATAAAGCTGAAGCAGTGTGTTTTAGCAAGTATAGCAGTTAAATGCTGCTAACACACATGAGCTGTTAGCTTGTGCTGTACTACTAATCTTCTGTACATGCTAACTGTTAGCATCTACAGCTTCAGAGGTGACTAAACTCCAACATTAATCTGAATCAGTTTCATAAAAGTTGCAGGTTAAAGCCGTTTGTTACATCAGCAAGTGTGAGCACGTCTATAAAAGCAGACGGTTTGGCAGTTTGCAGATATGGGCTGCAGAGAAACTGCAAAAATCACAAGATACAGGCCTCGATAGCAGGTGAAAGGTTAAAGTTCATGACAGCTCAGTTAGCTACACACTGAACGGGTGCGGCTCGCTTGGAAGGGTTAGAGAGTTCAGAGAGCTGAGCATGAATGAGATGAAGCGACGCTGTAAAGACGAGTGGGACAAAACTGCTCCACAGTGACGTGACAGACGCATGGAGTCACACAGAAACATCACCGCAACTCAGAAGGAGGCGCTACACGCCGCTGAATCAGGGGGCGGAGTTAGACTTTCACACTGCAGTTAGTTTAGTTTATCTTTAATAGATACTAACATGATGTAACGTGCCACATGCTTTTGTTCACCGGAGGCTGAATCTAATTATTTTAAGACCTGATCAGGACCAGATGATTTCTCATGTCCTGATATATGAAAATCCTAAAAAACATTTCTGCATCCAAATGTCACAAAAAAGCCAATAAACTGAAAGAGATGTACAAAAACATGGAGCACGGTTATAACTCTGAATATTGGAAAAAGTAAATACCACCATCATAGTGGACATGATGCAAAAACAGCAGTCACACGGGAAACTGTGGATTCCCTGTGACTGGTTGGAGTCTGGTTGCTGGTTGGTGGAGGTGAAATCAGTCATAAAGACGATGCCACACCAAACACCTCCCGTGATTGCTTTGAACATTAGCAGGTTGCCACTGTCACCTGTAGCTTGTGTGGAGGACGCTGACTTGTCTACAACTACACAAACAGGAAATGAGGAAGTGGTACTCTATCCCGTCTCTAAGTGATGAAGGATGGACCCTGCTTCCAAACTACTCTGTGTTTATTAAGGCTGTTGTATTTTTAACATGTTTTGTATTTTGTTCCATTCAATCTGAACAAAAACAGTCAGTGCTCACTGTCGGCCTCTCTCGGGTTTTATTACCACTCTTCATTTTAAAGCTCAGTTTACGATGTAACTGCAGCCCAGCAGCAGTATATTAATGACTAACCTCGTATTGTGAATAACTTCTAACTCCGTTAAATGTAATAAATCCTGTTTTCATGGATGTTAAACGTCATTGTTACACCTGGTAAAGCAGCAACACTGATCATTTTATAAAAGATGAAAGAATTTCAACAGTTTGTGACTCTCAGTGATGCCGCAGCGTTCGTTTGACTTTGACCTGAAGCGGAGTTTGGATCTGGAAACGGCGAATGACGTCAGACTTAAAGACGGGATAGTTTCACTTAGAGAGGCGACTGCTTGAGGACATCGGCATCTGTCAGTGATCAAAGCAGTCGGGGTTTTTCACCAGCTCGTCGGGGTCGCACATTTTTCTGAGCGTCTAGTTTCCAGGGGTCACACACGCCTCTGTAGGCCTGTGACATGACCCCGCAGTGTCAGTGCCCAAAATGGCAGAGGGTCATGTGGTGAGCAGTCACATGACTACAGAAACAGAATAGGAGGCTATTTTCTGTCAAAGTGTGTGGAAGAGCTTTCACTTCTCTAACTGATGCTTCAGCTGGTACAGATTTAGTCAGCAACACTGTTTTCTAGCTGCTGGGGGTCTTTGCTGCCCCCCCCCCCACACACACACACACACACACACACAGATGTTTGATTTGTTGTGTTAAACTTCCTGTTCGGATGAAGCGATGTTGGAGAGCGGGCAGAGCAGTTACTGTGGATCATTTATTTCAGTGTTGCTTTATTTTTCTAAATAAAATCTGTCATTCACCGTGATGCTCCGCCTCCTTTGTACCCCCATCACCATAGAGACACGTCACACAGCCAGGCCAGAGCTGTCAGTTTTCATATCAGCCATTTAATTTAATCAGTTTAATTAAACAGTTTTTCTTTAAATTTACAACTTTAATCTAAGAGTAAATGATCGTTATCACCATCACATGCAGTCCCTTATATTCTCAGGTCCTAAAATACCTTCATACTTTAATACAGCTTTTAAAATTTAACTTAATTTAATTTAAATGAATTTTTCAACTTGTTATTATCGTGTAAAAAAAGTGATTTCTGGTATTTGATAATAAATGTAAGCTATTATAAATGACGTGTTTCCATAATGCCACAAACGTATCACTCATGAGCAGAGATGGGCAGTAACGCGTTACACGTTACTGTAATCCGATTACTGTTTTCAAGTAACGAGTAAAGTAAGGGATTACTATTGCAAAAAGGTAATTAGATTACCGTTACTTTCCCGTAAGCACGCGACGTTACTGCGTTACTAAAACCGTGAGAGGACTTTGAGTGTCTCATGACAGTGACGTAAGCGAGTGCGCCGTTCGTGACAACAGCTGTGTGCAGATCAACAATGAATCACATATCGAGTGCAGAGAGAGTATGAGCGTGCAGCGTTTAAAGCGTGGAAGTACTGACCTTACTTTGAGTTTGATTCCGTAAAAAGTGACAAAAACATTAGCGTCCATCGTGCGTGGGAAGAAAACTTCTTTTTACAGCGAAAAAACCCCTAAACTTCCAACAAGCACCGAGTAGCTACGACGTAATGGGAAACTCACAGAGAAACTCACGGATTCTTCCACTGACCGCGGCACACCTCCACCAGGGTAAACCTCCGCCTGCCCCACTCCTGCTTTACAGGTGAAAATAGAGCAACAGGACCGCTGAGTCTTTGACTTTATTTATTTTCTGCTGTGTTTTACTTGCATCTATTTGAAAGACTGAGTGTAAACACACAAAATATTTTATTTTATGTGCTGGAATGTGCAGAAAATAGGTTTAAATGTTAAACTAATTTCTTCCAGTCAGAGAATGTTGCAGATAATTAAATTTTTGCTTGATGCATAAAGTTAAAAGATTAAAACTAATAAAACAAGTTTTAAAAAGAGACTTTTCCATTTGATTACATTTTTTATGATGGATTATGCAGAAAAAGTAGAATTGGGCTGAAAGATCTATCACTTTATCACCTCTTCAGGTTGTTACTTTAAAAAGTAACTAAGTAACTAATTACTTTTGAAAATAAGTAATCAGTAATTAGTTACTGATTGTTTTTTTCAGGTAACGTGACCAACACTGCTCATGAGTGATATAAAACATGCCCGTCACAGAGTCATCTCTGTTATACAGCCTGTGTTTAACGCTGCACACATTAAACATGTATTTACCACAGAAATGTGATGAATACACTTCACAGGCCTATAAAAACTAGACTGATTATAATGAAGGTTTAATAATACAAAACAGGTCATTTCTTTCATTTCTTTAATCCTTTCATAATCCCGTTCAGTGTATTTGCTCGTTTCTTTACGGATATAATTAAATAGATGAACATGAACGCAGAGTGACGCGTTTGGCTCCGGATGCTCCTGTTTTCTGTGTTTACCTGGAGCTCTGCGCGGTTTCAGGTGCCTCCTGCCTCTTTAAATAAAATCCTGCTAATGAAAATCCGCTGTTAACACCCCTGCTGCCCTCCTCCTGCCCCCGGCCTCCCTGCTGCTCTGTGCCCGAGGAGCGGAGCAGGATCCCGTGATCGCGGCAGGCCACTCCGCTCGGTGTGTCGGAGCTGCACAGCGACGGCAGGTACCCGCCTCTCAGACCCTTTCCTCCCGTCTCCACCCTCTGCTTTCTACTGTTTAATCCTCCTTCTCCACCTCCTGCATCACCACCACAACCGGCAACAAGTCGCACCGCCCGCCGGCTCGCAGCTGCTGCGGCCGGTCACACCGACAGCTTCTCCCGGCTCACCGGGTCGGTGGGTGGGGTCAGCTCTCAGGTATGACAGAAGAGGAGCCTGAAGCCTCACCTGGTGGGTTTTACTTATTCTGAGGGTGTGCGTTAGGTTCTGTGCGCCGAGCTGGGCGGAGCAGAGAGCAGGTGGGCGGTGTCAGTCTGCAGACCACCTGAGAGCAGAAACCGGAAGCGTCGAGTTTAGGAAGAGTAATAACGACTTTGTGACGTCTGAGGCTTTTATTGGACTCAGATTTTAGAGCTTCATTATCTTGTTACGTTTGTTTGTGAGTTTGTCTTCACAAACAGGATGTAGCTGATGTTTACAGACACAGCAGGCTGTAACTCACCAGCTGACCTTTCATGCAAAGAGGCAGCTCCATTAAGAAGCTGTTTAAAATGACAAACTATTCACACATGCTCAGAGGTCAGCTGTGGCTCTATGCTGGGGGGGATCAGTATCAGTGCTGTGGCTGTGGATGGTTTCCCCTCCGCTCTCATGCCTTCAGGTTGACTCAGTTTGTGTTTTAAACTCCTCGCTGAGGGTCAGCAGGGTTCGCTTTACACGTCCCTGCAGTGCTGATCCACAAAGCTTCATTTTAGTTCTGAGTAACAGAAGCCAGGCCTGCACATTAAACCCACAGCTCCTTATTTCTGGCTTAACCACAGACTGTATATAAAAGATGGTCACAGTAATTCGTTTCTGAACTCTAACTTTGAAGCAGCCACAAAATGATCCACAGAGACCAAACAGTTTGTGTATCAGGCTGTAAAAAATGTTTGTTTGTGCTGGAAAGTTTTAACATGGGAGTCTATGGAGACTGACTCACTGCTGCCTCTGCTGGACGCCACAGGAACTGCAGCTTTTGGTGTTTCTCAGTGTTGGTTAAACATTTACACTCCTAACTTAGACCCTGAAAAACCATTGAGCATGCGTTCCTTTTATGGATAAATAAGCGATCTTTTCTGACGCGTTTACGTGGATAACACTCATTGCAGTTTGTCAGTGAGATTTTAGTGATGATTGTTATGAGTCAGGACCAATGTTCCCTCTAATTTTCCATGTGTCTGAGCGAACACACAAACTCCCTCAGCGTCCCTAGGTCCACTGTGAGCGACAGCAGACGTGTGCACTGTGGTCACGTCGGCATCTAATCCATCCAAGTTACATGTTTATTAAAATTATCAAATTACAGCATTTATGTTAGACGACTCTTAATTAACTGCTTTAGCCCACTTACAATGAAAATGTAAACAAATCTTGTTTGTGACCTGTGCAGCATGTTAACACTATTGGAAGGAAAAAAAAACTTCAACTCCAATTTTGAAAACACAACTTTCTTATTATTTTTTTTATAAAGCTCTGACTTGTATGATGAGTCTGAGTCTGGGAGAGAGTCTGTAACTCTCTGTCTGCAAAATACAGTAAATAATGACCAATGCTGGGAAATTAACTATATAGTTACTTCTTCAAAAAAGTAACAAAGTGTTTTGCAGCTGTTTACCTAAAAATGCAGCCAAAGCGTTTTTTTAAACAAACATTTCAAAGTATTTACAGAACAATCAGCTGTTCTGCATCAAATCTGATGCCACACAAATTATTTGTGCCGCTGCAAAAAATAATTTCTGTCCACTGTGAGATGAACAACAGCCTGATACCTGCAGGCCTGACAGCAGCAGATGTATCACTGCTGTAACACCTGTAACACTCAGCAGTCGCCTCATTGTTCTGACACACACAACAAAACTATTGACAACACTACACACTAACTACACACTAACTACACACTAACTACACACTAACTACACACTAACTACACACTAACTACACACGATTTGTGCTAAACGTAGCAAATCTCTCACATCTCAAACACGCTGTCACTCCTAAAACTTCCCCCTCCCTAAACAACTAAATGTCATGTTGCCATATCATGTTTTGATTGGTCCACATGGTACATTTTTCCACCAATAGGAAAGGCTGGAGGGGGGCTGTGTTTGTTCACAGGCGGAGTGATTTCGAGCGTTTTCCTTATAAAACGCCGTTTTTTACCGTTTCTTCCTGCAGTAAATATAAACAACGACAGTATTCAGGAAGGAAACCAAACACTGCAGATATTTTATCATAACTCTGGTTTTACGTGGCCGATCAACACAGTTTAAAAACTGGTATAAAGTCCACACTGTTTCCGTCAGTTGTTCCGTCTGTCCTGCTCACATCTCCAATGGTTGTACACGTTGTCATTAACGTGGCTTCACTCCGCATCAGCCGCTTTGCTAAAACACCGGTGTCGGCACATAAGGACGCTGTCATAGCCTGTCAACCACGTGGATTAGCTGCACGTGCACAGCTTAGAGGGAACATTGGTAAGGACTGTTATAGATGGATGGTTTAAATAAAAGTTTCTAAAACCTTAAACAGCTCCGTCCCAGTCCACTCTGCCTCTCAGAGTCTAAACTTAGCCGGTGATATAACAGGCTCAGCGCTGCTCTGGGATCAGCCTGTCAGTCGGTGCAGAGGGCCGATCGCCCCCAGCCTGTGTGAGCAGTGAGGGCTCTGCACCTCTGGTGGTTTTTGACTCACTGTTGCTTGGAGAGAAGAGCTGCTTTTTCATCTTCCTGTTAATAAGCAGGCGGTGCTGGAATTCAAACCCACAATCTCCTGTTTAGCTGGCTAGCGCTTTAACCACAGTGCCTCACTCCATCTGACACGCACCTGTTAGAGGGGCGTCCACAGGTGTGCTCGGGGTACCTGGGCTGTTTAAAGTCCTGCAGCCTCCTCAGGTGTTTGGAAAGTTCACAGACTTTATCATATTTAATGAAGACCACATACAACACATGGAGCACCACCTGAATTAAAAACGTGAGATTTATAGGTGTGACTCTGCCCCCCAAATTACACCTACAAACAGCATTTCTGGTTCCCAGTGTGCGCACTGACACCACCCTGCCCACCATCAGGCAGAAGGTGGTGTTACCCCGATAACATCTGACCCGTATGCTCTCGTGGGCTTCGTGTGTCGCCTTTAAAAACACTGAATGTGCTGATTCAGACTCACTTTGTTGAGCTTCTCATTTTGTCCTGTCAGGTTCCCTCGTGTGTGTTTGCTTGTCTCTGTGATTGTTTCTGCAGTTTTTGGCTCTTTCTTGCCTCTCTCTAGTTTTTGTGCTAATATTTGTGGATTGTTGTCTTTTGAGGGTCTGTTTGTGTGTCTTTGTAGCGGTTTTTGTCCCGTTTTGTCATTTTCCACCTAATTTGAGGCTTTTTTGTCTCTTCGTTATCATTTTGTGTCTTGCGTCTCTCTAAGCTGTCGTCCTCTCGAGGTCTATTTGTGGCAGCTGAGTCCTGTTGTGGTCATCGTGCTTCTCTTTGTCGGACATTAATCGTTTACTTTTGAATCTTCGTAAAGATAAATTTCATCTGGTGTTGAGAGGTTTAATCTCTGTGTGATTACTTTGCCGTTCTTTGAGGTTATCGGCTCTGTGTTTGGCTGCACTGGCTCTCTGTGGCGGTCATGTTTGTAGTTTTCTGTAGGTGTTGGAGTCCTTTAGGCTGGGTAAACCTGAGGACAGTCCTGACAGGTGGACACTTTTCTTCTGAGAGCGTTCCCCTGACGGGTGAAGTCGGGCTCGGGCCTCGCTGACGCCTTCGGCAGCGACCCGTGGAGGGATTTGAACCTGCTGACCTTTAAGCTATCAGTGCCACTCCACTCGTGGCCTTTCTGTTTGGGCTTTATCGCCACCGAGATAATGAGACGTTTCCTGACGCTGCCCCTGATTGGATGCGTGGGAGACCCTGGGCGCTGCATGATTGAGGGGGGCAGTGAGGAGGGTCTAGAAGAATCTGCTGGTCTATATTAGCCGCTGTGAATCACGGCGAGCCTGGCATACCGGGTGTCCCCTTTCACGCCATATAAGTCCACCCCCCCTCCTTTCCCTGCAGACCCCCCTGCCCTGCCTCACCCCGCCTCACCCCACTGCCCCCCCACAATGCCACACCACTGTCTGAGGCTATTCTTAGGCTGTCACTTCAGCCCGTCCAAGCAGGCAGGTCCTCCTCTTTCTCCTCTCAGCTGCTGCGACTCGTTCTCTTCCTCTTCGGTTGGTGCATTTCACTCATTTTTCTTTCCTCCGTGATTGCTTCACCTGCTTCACGCCCTCTCTCTCTATCGCCTCTCTGCTTTCAGAGCCGTCCCGTGTCTCCTGCAGCTGCCGGTGGGTTTTGTTCCAGAAACTCTGCTCTGACTTTGAAGGATCTTTGTAGTTGTGTGGAAGAAGAATGAGCACCTACACCGTGTCGCTGCCCGGCCCCGGGCCCTGGGGCTTCAGGCTGCAGGGGGGCAAGGACTTCAACATGCCGCTGACCATCTCCAGGGTAGGAAATCGGACAGGAAACGCACTTTTTCACCTGCAGCTTCGCCCAATTTCTGTGTTTGGCTGACAGATGTGAGTCTCTGATATCTGTGTCCCAGTCTGAGTCCTTAGTGGTGTTACAAAAGGGAGTGAATCTAGAAAGACGAAGCTGGGACGGTTTAAGATGCAAACCATTGTTGCATGTCCTGCCTTATTTCCTGTCATCTGTATTCTTTCAAAATAAAGCTCAAAATTCCCCTCAGCATTGTTACTGAAACTTTAATGATTAATATTTAAAATCCGAGCTGGTGTGAGCCTCGGGTCTGTTCGACGTGCTCATGAGTCATTAAACTCAACCTGCTGTAGACTAATTCCATTTCGAGTCCAGCTGAGGAGACGTGGCTGCTTTGGGACATAATCTCTGATGTGTGGCTGATTTCTTTTTGAATCAGTGAAGCCCGTCGACCCCCCCCCCCCCCGGTCAGGTAGGGAGGCCGAAGCAGAGGTGGAGGCCTGAAACTGGAGCTGGTGTTGCTTTCGGAGCCTCGTCTCTCTGGACGGATGGAGAGACGAAGTTCCTGCAGCTCCACTGTAATCTGCTGGTGGGATGTTGATGACCTTTGACCTCTGTGTCGGGTTCTGTTTGGTGATTTTGGATGTGATGCCTGATGTGTTGGGACAAAAGCTGTGGCTGCAGCTTTGTGTAGCCTCTTGTTGGCAGTTTTGCATTTTTCAGGTCACGTTGCATCAGTGCTGATTGTTTTTGTCCTCTTGCTGTTATTTGGTGTCTCTGTGGGTTGTTTGGGTTTGCAGTGCAGCTACTCTGCATGGTTTTGGAGATACTGAACAACTTATTTCTGTAGTTTTGCATCTAATTTTAGTTTCTTTTCCTTTTACGGTCATTAAATGTCTCTCTCTCTGGTATTTCTGCCTTTTGGTGCAGTTGTTGTGTAGTTAAATTCTTTGGGTTTCTTTTCTTTTTAGTGATTTTGAGACTTTTTGTGGTTGTTAAATTCGGGGGTTTGTTTGTGTTTTGGGTCTTTTTAACGTTTTTTTAATTGTTCAGTTGTTTTTTGCGTCTGTCCTGGTTCGTTCAGGTAATTCTGTGTCTTTTGTCAGGTTGTAAGTCGTCTTTTTGCAGCTCAGTTTGGCAGTTTTGTGTCTTTCTTGTAGTTCAAGCCTCTGACCCTTTCGGGTTGTTGTGTTTCTGTTAGTTTTCTTGTGCGTCTCTTTGTGATGGGCTCGGGTTCATTTTATGTTTCTTTCTGATTTGCAGTTATTGTCCAGCCGACTTTGGTGGTTTTGGACCCTGAGCTGTGTTTACTGGGGTTCATATATGTTGCTGTACTTTTATTCAAACTGTTTAACTTGGCAGGATGTTCCAGATGTTCATGTTCCACACATTTAGCCTACAGATGTTTTGTGTTGTGTTTGGGTGCTGCTGCTCTTCCATTGTTATTCACTGCATCTGTAATCCAAGTCTCTGCTGGCGGCTCCACAGTTTCCATCATTGCATTCACCTTAAACCGAGTCCTCCCACAGGAGAGACAGACGCAGGTCCCCACAACATGACTGTGAACAGATTTAGGACCCTACAACAGCAGCAGTGATAAAAACGCACACACACAGACACACACAGACACACACACACGCTGTGAGGACTCATTCATTCGGGGACGGCCGACCTTCAGCGCTCCCCCTGCTCAGCTGTTACACTCATCAGCCTCTGTGAGCGCGCTGTTTGTTAACAGCTCCACGCGCTTTACGCAGCTCCTCCGTCAGGCTGAGAAAGATGGAGGTCCTCTTTGAGATACTAAATCATGTTTAGTCGTCCAGAACAGTCACAGGGCTGAAACAAAGCCTCACGATTCAGAACCTTTTTAGTTTTTTATTCTTAAATTGTTTCACTTGATGATTGAAGTGAGACCTTATGTCTGTGTCAGGGCAGCACTCGTACAGGAACAGTAAATCTTGTGTTCCTGGTTCGAGGAGCTGTTTTTGGCCCCGGGTTTTGCCTCTCAGGTTGCACCTCGCTGACGGAGTTGGTGGGAGGTGTTTCCACGTTGCCGGAGACGAGCCAAAAATAAGACTCGAGCAGAACCTCTGTCTGTGTGAGAGTCAGCGACTGGTTTAACCCCAGAGAGGCTGGCAGGACCTCTGCTCCTCGCTCTGGGATGTGACAGTCATGTTACACCAACCATACAACCACACAAAAAGTTCTGAATGAACTGTGGATTCACGAGTATTAACAGACTTCTGCTACATGGACCTCGTTTCACCTCTAGTGCCGATGATGCTCTACGTGAAGAACTGAGAACGAGGACCTTCCTTTTCCATCCGACCCTCCAGTTTCTGCCTGATTGTCGGCTCGGATCCAAGTTCACGTCCCTGTCAACGTTTTCCGTCCTGAGTCGGTTTGTAACGACCCTGCTGCAGCCTGCTGCTGCTCCATCAGGACAGGAAGTCAGATGGAGCTTCTTCCTGTTCCTTCCTTTCACAATAAAAGCCCTTCACAGTGACTCCTGCACATGAACGTGTGACGCCAATTGATAACTGATTCTGAGGTTAAAATGAAATGCATCTTTACTTTTGCTGGCGGATCATGTAAAGCAGCTCCGTCGGCCAACGCTGCCATGATTTAGACATGTCTGCTTTCCCTTCTCACTGCTGCTGTAGGCCAGACACACTTGCATCCTGTCAAATGCTCAACAGACTTAAACTAATACCAGTGAGGAAGGAAATTCAGCAGTGTTCATATTCCCATCATCCCTCTCTGCTCGCTGGTTCATTGTTCAGAGCATGAGGTTCAGGGAGCGGCGGTGAAGAGGTGGGATTTACAGGCAGACGAGGCTGAGTTAGATCCAATCTGCTGCTCAGCGCTCAAAGAGAATATCAGCAGGGTCACAGGATTCTCCCCATCCAAGCTTTCCTTCAAAGCCCGACATCTCTCCGTCAATGTTTTGAGCTGCAGAGCTCCAGAAGGAATGAAATGCATGTCGCTGCACCGGCACAGATGTGGATTAATCTGCTGCTTAAAATAGTCCCCAACAGATGCACCCTTTCCCCTGAACATGAGTGAAGTGTGGGTCAAACAGGTCCAGTGTGACTCTCACTTGGATTATTTAAATAGTAACAACTTCTTACTTTTTAACTGGATCACAGACCAGCTCATGTAGCAGATAACTGCCATACAGTGTGTACCACAGTGTGTACCACTGAGTGATGTCACAGTGCCGGACAGTCTGCATGTTTCATCCCTGATTGGTTGAGAAGCTGCAGGAGCTTCACTTTAAGCTTTGCTGCTTTAAGTTAAAAGGATTTGTAATGAATCTTCTCCATCTCAGTGTTCCTCTGCGCTCTGTCAGCGCCTTGTTTGAATATATTTAGAGCCAAATGACTTCAGTCCTTCCTTCGGGCCGGCAGCGGCGATTGTTCTGAAGTCGTGTCTGGGAGTTTGGGACGATTCGAGGCTGAAAAAGTGACAGCTGGTGGCCTCTAAAGGACCAGCAGCAGTGAGGAAGTGTTCACACGGAGCAGGATTCGTGCCGCTTTAATCCATGGAAACGTCTCTGCGCAGTTTGCACACCCTCTAAAAGTTTCCAGTTTTGTTTTACAGCCAACATCTCCAGGTCATTTCCACTGTTTTTATCCTTTGAACGGTTTTTTAGTATTTTACAAACAGCATCTCTGATTTAGGTTATTTGGAGTGAAGGATTTATGTATGCAATAGGTGACAGATGGCGTTTAAGAAGCCCAAATGTTCTGCAGATTTTAGCCAATATTTCTAATGTCATCCTGTCCAGATGACAGTCTAGTAACAGCAGGATATGCACGGACACACTGCAGGAGCTTTTTTCAGTGTCAGGCCAACGCTGTCTACATCATCCAGAATCTAGAACATGATGGGTTTCATTTGTGCAGCCCAGAGATAAAAGCTCATTCAGCCTGTTTACCAGGTCTGTTGTAAAGCATGCTCTACTGGGATCTGAACCCAGGCTCTCCTGTTTACGAGACAGACGCTTCAACCAGCTAAGCTGCACGCCTCCTGAGGGCGCTGCAGCTTCTTACAGCTGAGTCCTCCTGGCTGTGAGGTTGATTTAGAGTTGATTTTAAAATGCCGTCAAGATTTCTGCTTTGCTTCTTTGACTTGAAAACAGTGTCACCACCTCGAGGGTCTTTCTGTCCAAACCTTTGCACAGCAGCTCTTTGTACTGTTTACTATTAGCACAGAATCATCAGCACAACCACATCAAAGGAGATCAGATCAAATATGAAGAATACGAAATCTCAGTGTACACAGATGATGTTTTGGTATACGTAGCAGAACCACACTCGTCAATAAGAAAGTTAAAGAGTCTGATCTGTGGATTTGGTTACTCAGACCAAACTGAGGAAAGGTTCATAAACAAGAACATTTGTCTCTTTGCTTTCATGCAAACACAAAAGAATTTTGCAGCTATAGCTACAAAATCTATTAAAAAAACTTTTTTGTTGTGATATATTTTTCACACATGTGAGTTTGTTTGAAAGGCAGAACTAGAGATCTCCTGTTTACGTCATCGACTCCGAGTCCGTTTGTGGGATTGTCCCCAAATGTTGGGAAGATGAGTTAGAAACACATCTTTAAATGTCTCTCTGAGCAGCTAGAGGTGTGTTTGTGTGAAAGCAAAGACTTTCTTCTTGTTTTGAGGCATTTCTGTTCTCAGCTAAAGAAATCAAAGATGAAAAAGTAAATACCAGAAAGTCTGCAGTTGCTGAAGGACACATCAGTCTTTCTCTGTGGCTGTTTTTTCAGACATAAATGACCTTTGTTCCCACGCAGCAGAGATTCCTGTGCTTTTACTTCATGTCTGTGTTTAATTAGTGATTTTCTTACAAAGCTTCACGGGGCTCTGAGCGTTCCTGCTGCTCCTCTCACAGCTCAAAGCTCGCTCGAGTTTTACAGTCGGGGCGAAAGCCGAGCCGGCGGTAATTCGATGCCCGCTGTAACAAACACACGGAGCTGACTCAGCACTCGGCGAG